CGCTCAGCTGGCCACGGCTGCACAGCTCTATACATTTACTAAAATCATGGAATTGTGCGCTTACTTTGGGAAAATTTTGTGGTATGTAAATTATACTCACGCGGTTTGTAAGAAATAAGGAAGAATGTTGCCCTCCTTCTCAGGATACTTGTGAGGACTCGGTGAAGTTTTGCCAAGCTCGCACTGTGTGTATACTTGGGGGCAGAGGGTCCAAAGTAGGCCTGAGTGGGGGTACACATCAGGTGTAGTTTTCATGGGGCACCTGGCTGGAGCCACTTGCCAACAGGAAGTGATAGGTGGTTCAATCTTGCTTCTGGCCTGGGAAACCCTACCCCCACCCCTGTGGCCCTCCCAGCAGGTGGAGGAAGACCCAGCCCACAGGGCCAGAGCTTTTGTAGTCACAGCCGCGGCTGCTGCCATAAGAGTGAGTGACACCCTCCTGCTTTCAGCAGCACAGATGGGAAGCCCAGGGCTTCCCTTGGGGCCAGTGAGGAGATACATTTGAGGTGCAAGTCATGTGGGCCCCAGGGCAGCATAGTCAGCTTGCGAGTGGGCAGGTGCAGTGCCAGCTTCACTGGGCCGGCCAGGAGCCTCACTGCCTGTGCCGGGCAGTTCACAGCTGCTCCTGAGAGCAGAGGCGGTGGCGACGGTGGAGGTAAAACACTGTTAGGTCAAGTTCACCACTGATGCCAAGCAAATACCTTCAGCTGCACCGTGAGGCAGATGTGTTTACTCCCCTTTGGTGTCAGTCCTCCCTGAAGAGAGGAGCTGGTCCCTTCTGCCTGGGCTGCTGTGAGGGTAAAGGGATGTGATATATGTGAGCACCTGGACCGGTGGTACCCAGTCACCTGTCCACAGGAGCTGAATGACTGTAGGCACATTGTTGGCCGAGGCTCTGCCCTCTTCCAGGCCCGTTGGCTCACCTGGATACTGAGGGATCTGGAGGTGTTCCATCTTCCGGACTTGGGAGCCATCCTAGCACTAGCTGGATGACCTTGGTCAGGTTAGTCTCTGTGCCTCGCTCCCCTCACCCCGAAAGTGGGGGTAATGATACCTACCTCCTGGAGCTGTGAGGCTGAGATGAGGTTATCCTCAGAGCAGGGCTGTATGCATAGTAAGTGCGAAGTGTTAGCTGCTGCTGTTGTTATTGTCATTATTTTCTTCACCATACGGGTGTGGAAGCTGAGGCCCAGAGAAGTGATGTGACCTGCTCAAGGTCACCCAGCTAAAAAGTGGTGCACGTTAGGATCAAGGCCAAGCTTGCCGCGCCCCAAGGCCAGTGCAGTTTCCGTCCTTCCCCATTGCGCCTCTTAAGTCACGTGCGCAGTAACTGGGTCAGAGGCAGTGCGTACCTGGGGGGACGCAGCAGCAGGGACCGCGTGTGGATTAATTCCTTGTCTCCCACTGACACCATGCAGGGGGCAGGCCTGAAGGAAGAGAGGTGGGGAAGGAGATAGGGGGTGATAGGGACAACCCCAAAGCTGGACTCTAGGAACCAAAGCAATGAATAGAAAGTTGAATCTGACGTAGCCCCAGGCCTGGGTGCTCGTGGCCTGCTGATGGGGTCAGGCAGGGAACACCTGAGACCATTCTAAGAGATTCAGCAGAGGCCCTGAGAGAGACGAACCCTGTCTGAATCCTGGGTCAGGAGGGAAGGCTTCGTGGAGGAGTGGGACCTGAGGATGCTGAGACCGAGGAGCTGGGGTGGGGGAGGGGTGAAGGCAGGCAACCGAAATGGTGGAAGAGGCTGTAGAGGGGCATTGAAGCTGGAGAGAAGCCATGCAGGGCAGTGGTCAGAGCATGAGCTGAACCTGGTGTGAGGGGGCAAATGTTGGGGGCAAAATCCACTCTGTGGCTGTGCCCAAGACCCAGGCTGGTGCCTACCCAGGGCAACTCTGAGGCCAGAGCAGCAGGGAGGAGCCAGGCACCAACAGTCCCTGCAGGAGGGAGGAAGGGGGCTTCCAGTGGCTTGCAGCTGCCAGTCAAGCTCCCCAGGGATGTGGACACAGTCTGAAGCGACCTGGCAGAACGAAGCCCAAGTGGGAGCACTGCACACGTGTGTACACGTGCCTGCACACACGTGGTCCACCCACCTCAGTGCCCTGGGGAGTCCTCACACTTCAGGAGAAGTAGGTCAGCGGAGCAGCCAGCGTCTCTCCCTGGTGGGCAGGGCAAAGAGGGCGTGTGCTCATCAGCACCCCCAGGGAGAGCCCCACACTCCGCAGAAGGCTCAAGGGCGCTGGCAGAGACACAGCCTTACTGTCCCCTGCTGCACCAGAGCCATGGACCCTGCTCTCACTGGAGATCTTCCACCCAGGCAGGGGTGGATATTTGACAGGGGTTGGAAGAGCGGAACCCTCCCATCCCTGAAACTAGGGAAGACCCTGGTGGGGAAATAACCCCCAGTCTAGCCCAGCTGGTGGCTGTCGCAGAAGGAACCCGTGCTATCCAGCCTGGAGCTGGGACTGCAGAGTTGGTGCCAGTGCCATGGCAGGGTTGGGTTCAACACACTGAGGGGGATAGAGGGAGAGGACACAGGACTGGGTCTCTGGGGGCCTGCCACCACCCCTCCCTGTGGGGTTCTGTGAAATGTGCTAGAGACGCTCTGAGGGCATTCATGTGGCATTTCAGAGGGACTCCTGGCATATGTTCGGGCTGAGGAAGTAGGAGAGGAAAAGCAGTAGGCAGGGGAAGCTTCTCTGAGGACAGGCTTATTCATGAATGGAGGGGAGGGGGCTGAGTGGGGGAGCAGGATCCTGAGAAGCCAAAGGGGTGGGAGCCAAAGCTAAGGACGGGAGTGGGCTGCCTGCTCCCCAGCCAGCTGGGAGGACGTGCAGATGGAGCTCCTGTTTGGGGCTGGGTGGGAGGCCAGCGAGCTCCTTCCTCAGGCCCCTCCTCTCCCTGTGAAGTGGGAGGCTGGGTCGTGCGAGAGGGAAGGGGGGGCAGTGGGGGTGAGGAGGGTTTGGGTCTAGGAGGGGAGCCGCTGGGCCAGGGTGAGGGTGCCAGGCTCATGGAGAACTCACCCCTGCTCCCAGCCTCTGGGGGAGCTCGGCCGAGAGAATGGAGATCATAGTCAGGAGAACACGCTCCCCTGACAGAGCACTCACTTTGGGCCAGACACCAAGCACTTCACATCGGTTAACCGATGGAGTCCTCAGCAGCCCAGAGGGAGAAGGGACTCATATCCTCTTCACAGATGGGAAACTGAGGCCGGAGAGATGAAGTAATGTGCCCAAGGCCAACCAGCTAGACAGAGCTGAGATTCAAACCCAAGGGTCTGGCTCCAAGCCTCTGCTTTCTCTCAGCCATTGGGTGGTCTTGCAGGATGGCTGTGAAGGTGTTGAGGTACACCTGGGACCAGAAGTGGAGGGGAGCAGAGAAGGCAGGCTCCGGGGTCAGCTCACAGAGCACTGCGTGCCAGCCTCTCCTGCTGGTGCACATACAGCTCCTAGTCTGCCCCTCCCCGCCCCCGTTAGACAAGAAATGCAGGCCCCAGAAAGGGCGTTCAGTGTTACCGAGGCCCGGACTCCCCCCACTGCAGCTCTCTGCCCCCCAATACCATCTGGAGACAAACTCAGTACCTCTGGGGGTGGGTGCATCCAGCTTTTGTGGGCGCTGAAGGGGTCAGCCAGGCCTTGATTGGGGGGGCAGATAGTCCTTGTGTAGGGGGCCCAGGCTACAGCTGTGGCTCTGTGTCCCTCAGCGGGCTGTGTTGTCGTCCGTGGTGGGGAGGGTTTATAAGGCTGCTGTGGGTGTGTGCCCAACTGCACCATCCTGCCAGCGTTTTCTGAGACTCTGTGACCTCTGTCCTCAAACCTCGCCCTCCCCACCCCCTACCTTATTTTCGTCTACAGCCCATATCATCTTTTCTCATAATATATACGTCATCTGCTCACTGTGTTTATCATTCATGTCCTCCCAGAAGGTAAGTCCCAGGAGGCAGGATTCTTACCCGTCTGTCCAGTGCTGTGTGCCCAGGGCTCTGAACACCACCTGGCCAGCAGCAGGTGCTCATCAATACTGTGACGGGACCACTCCTGCGAACTCGGTCTATGGCATGTCTTTTTTTTTTTTTTAACTTTTATTAGTATTTATTTGACGCTGAATTTACTCCCGGGCCATGAATCTTTGCTTCTTCAGTTTCCTCCGGGACACCCTTTCCTTCTGTGCAGCCCCCTGTCCGGGTTCAGGAGCAGCCTGCCCTCTCGGTAGGGTCGGCTCCGTGCGGCAAGGGAGCCGTGTGTGGGTCCAGCGCCCGTGGGCTCTGGAAGTTCTCCACCGCACCTGGGAGCTTTGCTCACCTGGATGCGCTCAATGACCTGGTTGCGCTTTTAGAATCTACATCCAAACCCTTAAGCTCAGCATTATTCTCTGCAGTTTTAAACATATGCAGCAAAAACTCAACTCTCTTTTAGGGCCTCCGGCCCTGCGTCCAGCCCGTTTGGCCTGGGCTCACCTACCAACTCCATCATTGTAACGACGGAACGGCACACATTGCTTCTGTAAAGTGACATCCTTCAGATACTTGGTGGCTTTTCGAATATGCATACCCTTGATGGCCTGGGCAGTTTCACGAGTGTCCTTAAAGTGAACACAAAGATTTGAACCTCTTGATTTGCATGATTTTGTGGGGTTTTCTAGGTCAAGTGGATAACAAGCCATTTTCGGAGGTCACCTCTAGCTGCTTTCGGGAAGAGCTATGGCATGTCTCTGTGTCAGTACCATCCCTGACACAGTCTGGATGACAGCATGAGACAACTAGGTTGGCGGTACCCGGGGGGGGGCAGGTGGCAGCGACTGTCTCTGGGGGATGTGGCTCAGCCTGGTCCTGAAATTTAGGGAAAGGTAATGCAGCAAAGGTGTTTGTTGCCCCATCGTGGTCATCTTGGGCCTGGCATCTGACCTCATCCCCAGGGATCCTGGGTGCTAAGAAGGAAAAAGGTAGGCGGAGGAGGGGCCCTGACTTGATGTCACACTCCACACCCCAACCCCCTCAACAGGGAGAAGATGAGCGTGGGCTGCCCAGAGCCCGAGCCACCCCGTTCCCTGCCCTGCTGTGGGCCAGGGACTGCCCCTGGGCTGGGTGCAGGCGTGCCCCTTCTCACTGAAGACATGCAGGCACTGACCCTCCGCACACTGGCTGCTAGCGATGTCACCAAGCACTACGAACTGGTCCGGGAGCTGGGAAAAGGCACCTATGGGAAGGTTGACCTGGTGGCCTACAAGGGCACAGGTGAGTATCTGCAAGGTGGCTGGTTTTAAGGCTTGGGTGGGGATTTAGCTGGGGCTCTAGGGTGCTCTCTGCAGGAGCCTGGGGGCCAGCAGGGAGGCAGAGGCAGTGGTCCAGGTGAAAAGATGCAGCCTGAGTGGCCCAAGGAGGAGGAGACCTGGCAGATGGGACAAAGGAGGAAACTGGGGGCAGAGTGCCCAGACTTGGATGCTTTGAGAGCATCCAAGGTGACTTTGGGACAGACAAGGGGATGGACCCAAGGACATCTGGAGCTCAGGGGGAGGTCAAGGTCACGGCTGGTGGTGGTATTTGGAGAATCACCAGCATATCAGTGATAGCTGACCCCAGGGAAATGGACAGAGCTGTAGGTCCTCTGGAACAGGGCACCAGCTTAAAGGAGGGTGGGAGATGACTCTGTGAGGACTGTGTGGCAATCTCCATGTCTCAAGTGAGGACACTGAGACCCAGAGAGATTCAGTCACTCCGTCAAGGTCAAGTAGAGGGTTTGAGCTAGGATGAGATCCCAGTCATCAGCTCCAGAACCTTCTCACAACCGCTGAGCTTGCTGCCTTCCCCACACTAGGCTCACAGCATTGCCCATTCAGTCAGCCAGAGATGGGGTCTGCATGAGCTCCCACATCTGCACAAATCTGGGGCAGGGGGCTCTGTGCCAACTGAAGGCAACAGGAAGATCCCTGGACATGAGGTCACCTGAACTTTGCCACTTGCTTGCTGTATGACCTTAGACAAGTGACTTAAGCTGTCTGTTCCTAGGTTTCCTCCTCTGTAATATAGGGTAGCATTAATGCCCAGCTCATAGAGTCATTATGAGGTGTGAGTCGTGAATGTGAACTGCTGAAGGCAAGGCCTGTGATGTGTCAGCGCTCTGTGGACACATGGGTGCCTGCCCAAGCACAGATCAGGGATATGCGCCTTGCAGGCCCTCACCTCTCCGTGCCTAATTCCTTCTTATTCATTCATCCATTTAACAAACATTTGCTGAGCACCTACTATGCACCAGACTCCTTAGGCACTGAAGATATAACAGTGAACAAAACAAAGGTCCCTGCACTCAGGAAGCTGCATTCCAGTTGTGTTCCGGACAGATGGGATAATAAGTACAGTACCTCAGGAAGAAAATGGAGGGGGGGGGGCTGCAGGCTGGGTGCAGAAGACCCGGTCCAGCCCTGACTTGCTGCATTGTCTTTGGCAAGTGCTCTCCCTCTGCTGGGTCATGGCCTCTGGGACCCCATTGTGCCTTGTGCCTGGGACAGGCTGTGCAGACAAGCATGGGTATGTGTCAGGTGCAGGAGGGCAAGAGAGGGGGCCTTCAACTACTGTTGCCCTGCCAGGCACAAAAATGGCGCTGAAATTCGTGAACAAGAGCAAAACCAAGCTGAAGAACTTCCTGCGGGAGGTGAGCATCACCAACAGCCTCTCCTCCAGCCCCTTCATTATCAAGGTCTTTGACGTTGTGTTTGAGACCGAGGACTGCTACGTCTTTGCCCAGGAGTATGCGCCTGCTGGGGACCTGTTCGACATCATTCCTCCTCAGGTATTTGGGGTGGTGGCTGAGGGCGAGGAGATGGTCTTCCAGGGGCCCCCGAGTGTGAGCTGGGGAGGAGTCAGGCCACTCAGTTCATCCATGAGTATTTATTGAGTCACTGTTTGGAGGTCAGGGGATTCACAGTGAACAAGACAAAGGTCCTGCTCAGATCCTAGTGGGGAGACACAAACACTTGCCAGGAGGCCAGGTGACAGACTGAGACGCGCACTGGCATGAAACAGCCAGAGTGCTGAAGTCCAACAGCACCGTCCTCTGCAGCTGCAAAGGACCAGGTGGGGGCGCAAAGGACCAGGGAGGCAGCAGGGCCACCAGCGGCTTCCCAGAGAAGGTGCCCTGGAGTGGGGAAAGCAGGAGGATTCCAGGCACCGGCTTTGCAGTTGGCCGGTGCCAGGTTTGAGTGTGCTCTGCCGCCTACTGGATAAGTGACAAGGCCTCTCCGAGCCTCATTTCTACAGGAGAAATGGGCATAATAGGAGTCCCTGTAGAGTTGGTGAGAAGGTACAGGATCGGGCGCTTAACACGGCACCTGGCCCTTGGTAGGTGCTCAGGACGGTCAGTCCCTGCAGTTACTGGGGAAAAGGAGACGACCAGGTCGGGTGGGGGGAGG